AAAATACCATTGTGACACTATTCCGCTACAATTGTTGTTCATGCAGATTGTTTGATTCTGTTTTGTATGTGTTTGCAACTTTAAATAGGCTGGCAACAAGATGGTGCAAAAAAATGGTGAAATGGTATGGGTTTAACGCCCCTATCAACACTATTAAGTTATTTAAGGGGCGGGACCTCCTAGTTCAACGTCCGTCTCCGATAGGACCGATCCGAGTGGGAAGTTCGTGTAAAGTGCCTTACCAAAGGAAGCAACGTCGGACCGAGCTGAGGCTCGAACCACCAAAATGACTCGCAATTCTGCTGCAAACCGGACAAAGTATGTGTCCTTTACGTTCTTTAAGAGTTAGGAAACAGTGGCAGGTTGGTTTTACTCGAGAAACATAATATTCTGCAAGGAAACGAGAAATATTTGATCGACACGTATTATGAGGACAGGCAAAAGATAATAATTATATTGATTTTATATTACGGAAAGGAAAAAGAAAAACAAAGATTCAACATCTAGTCAAAAGACTGTTTAAAAAGACGCGCTGGCTTCTAACTCTTAACCCTATCCGTACGTTGTGTTTTATTATCATATCCATGCGACGTGGGGAACTCTGTGCCACTGCTTTCCAAAGAGGAAATTTTCTTGTTAATCCGATCTGTACGCTGTGCATAGCAGTCTGTCAAAATGATTGTTTGAGAAAAATACAGAAAGTTTCAAAGAGATTTTAAAAAGAGAAGAATACAACCCTGGGGATACAAAATGACCCCAGGGCGTACGGATAAGGTGAAGTAAATGCAGGCGCCTGAATCACTTGACGTCCTTGAACCCCCGACTTTCTCCTCTATCACAGGTCATCGACCCCACCACAGGTCAGACCGTTCTTCCTGCCAACGCAGCCGTCAACCAGCTTACAGGTACGCAAACTACTGGACTGAAACAGTAGCACTACCTTCCCTTCCCCCCCCCCCACACACACACCCAACACAAAAACTCGCCATGTACATTCATATGTACACACACGAACCCTGACACAAACATTCACACACATACACACACAAACACACACACACAGGCACAAACACTAACACACACACGCACACGCACACACGCACACTCCCCTTACCTCCACCCCCCGGACCCACCCCCAAAAAACTCGCCATGTACATTCATATGAACATACACAAACACTGACAAAACTCTCACACATACACACACGCGCACAAACACAAACAAACACACACACACACGTACACAAACATACACACACACCCACGAACATACTTGAAGTAGCGATTTACACGATTAGATCTACATTTAACAACAGTACATCTTACAACACGGTTAAAGTCTTTTTAGGTTCCCGTTCTCAAAAGAAAAAGAAAAGTTATGTGTACAAGACGCACAGAGACCGGCATGTTAAATGTCTCGTTAAAAAATGCCATTTGAACATAATTCTTTTGACCTTATATAAATATTATATTCATGCTGCAGCCTTACATATATGGAGTCCCGATGAGCGTTGTAGGTTAAGTAAGTTCCTAATGGAGGGCCCCAGTTAAGTTGACTTTTACTGTTTGTGCTTGTATCTCTTCATCTCCTGTCTTATTTTGACATCCATCTCCACGAATCACTGGAGAGGACATACCTTTTTTAAGATAAATAAATAAATTAATAAGTAAATAGATAGATAAAAATGAATGAATAAATGCCTAAATGAATAAATGAATAAAATAAATAATTAAGTAAATGAACAGCAATAAGTATCATGAACCTCAGAATCGATGTCGAATCATCCCAACGGTTAGCTCCATTAGCTCAGTTGGTATCATGCTTAACTACATGTAGGGGCGGGTGCCCTGTGGTTAGAATCTACAACGGCTGGGTATTTCTAAAAGTGGGTCGATTTGAGGAGCTTCCAAGGCACTCAACCCAATTTTACCTGGTCCAGCTGAGTGGATTTTGTAAACCCATAAACTTACTTACTTACTTTTTACTTACACATTCCGTAAGTAAAACGAGGGCTTCAGTGGCCGAGTGAGTAGTGAATGTAGACACAAAAATAATGTCAAGCAAAACGTGTCGGTGACACTGTGATTAGATGTGTGTGTGTGGTGTGTGTGTGTGTGTGTGTGTGTG